ACAAATACCCATGGGACGAGGGCTAACATTTCTGATGTTGTCAAGATATACAGAGATAGAGAAGCAGGTGGCCTTGACTGTCACCCAGGACACAGGTCCGAGACAATGTGTTTTTACTCAAGGCTCTATTTCACCTTTAAAGCAGTCAGAAATTTCTCTTGCTCCTTGGAAATCCAAGAATGTCATAAAATTACATTTTCTGTGAGCAGATGCTAGGCAGCAGAAGGAAGTTCTAGGCTGCCTTCCCATGGTGCCATATACATCCCACCATCCTGCACAAAGGGAGTGGTTAGCTAAATCGTTTAACTGGAAAATGATCTTCTTTTCTGTAAAGGTTAACGTTGTAGCTTGTCTTAGAAAGGAACAAAGAAATATACCGAAGATTGCCAGCTCAATTTTCTAAGTTAAAATTTAAATCGTTTTCTGTGTTATAAGCTGCATTCAAAGTCTGCTCAGAATTATACACATCAGAAAAGGCAAGCACACACACGTCTAACATCAAAACTAATATTTAATACTGAGGATCTTTAATTTAGGGCATGGAAATTCATGATCTTCTGGATTTTTCTCATTAGTAGTTGCATAACATAAAGTATCTACAATTTCTTCCCAATAGTGAGAATAAGGTAAAATATAACCATTTTAAAAGCTAATGAAAGGCCTATTTATCACATTATTACAAATCTTTTTAATTGTTCAAGAAAGTAGACTAAATGCTTAGTGATCCATGCAACAGTACAAAATGCAAATGTACTTATTTTAAGAGGACAGATGAGCCTTCACTAGCTAAATAACCAAACACAACAGCTGATAATTTGTAAAGCTGGAGGGCAAACGACTGTAATGCAATGTCTCTTTTGGTTTGGTCTGAATTTTTACTTGAAAAACTGATCAATAAACCTGCAGGGACGGCATCACATGACAATATGCATGTTGACTTTTATGTGTTTTTTTTTTGTTGTTGTTTGTTTGACAATGATAATGTTGATTTTTTTCTTCCAGGTCAGAGCCTCTGTAATCTGCTGCACTCTGAGCAGAACAGAAAGGCTGCCCTGTTCCTTGTTCCTAGGGACACTTGAGAAACAGCCTGAGCACAGGCGACAGAACATCTGTGATCACGACATCTCTACGGGCTCCTGTGTCACACTAACCACGTGACAGGACAGGCTGCAGGACATCCTTCCTCCAACCTGCTCTGCCAGCACACCCTGAGTGTCCCCTGACTTCTTGTGGAGTGCATTCTGATGGAAGTCACCCAAAGTAGAAGCGACAATGGAAATTTTGGCCCAAAGTGGATGACTTCATATACAGAACAGATGAAAATATACTATATTTTCCCTGCTGGGATACACACTCTCCAGCATGGCTAAATATAAGGAACTTAAAAGCAGCCAAATCCAGGATCAGTGGCCAAAATAAGCACCTGGCTGCTGTTCAGTCCACTTCCTGCTGGTTTTGGTTCTTCTCCGTCCTTCTACCCCATCCCCACTGCTCCTATCCCTTTCTACTTTTAGGTGACAGCAAAGTGACAATCACTTCATTTTCATCCCCTCATTATTATTATTATTTTTTTATTTTTATTTTTTATTTTATTTTTTTACTGAAGCCTGACCTTGACAGGAATAGGTCCTCTCTGTTCATGCCTCCCCTCATCCACCTTGGCTAGTTCTATCAGGAAAGAAACTATACAACAAGATTTCCTTCCTCCTATTCTTCTGGCAGTTATTGGAAATAGTAACAAATTCATCTTCTTTTTTATTTCTTAATAGAAATATTTAACAGTACTTAGAACTAACACTGCCTGATATGGAAAAATGGTCCTTTTTCTTCTTCCTTTTTTTTTAGATCAGGATCATCTCAGCATCCTTTCCAGGGGCTGCCCACCTGACTGTGTCAAGAATATTTGCAGAAAATTACTTAAAAACACATAATTACTTAAAATCTACTCTTCAAGAGTTTTCACTTCTTTGTGCAGTTGTGACCACCATTGTGACCTGTCCACCCCACCCCTCTCTTCCTTGTTTCCTTTTCTTTCTATTATTTTCATTACTTTCTCTCTTTCTCCGTCTGATTCTCCATCTTAACCTCTTTCTCCTTTCCCCTTCTTCCCCATCCCTGTCTTCCTTCTCCTGACTTCTCCCTCTTTCTGCTTCCTCCTCTGAAACACTTCTCATGTAAGATTTGTAATGCACTGAAAGCACTAATGAATGCTTCCAGAACTTGAAAATTATTTTTAGTCCACTGTTTTGCAGATGAGGAAGTGGGATGCTGTATAAAGTGTTTTAAAATGAATTCCTGACATTATCATAGAATAAACTTTATATTCTTGATCCACAGGTAATCAGTATATTTTCTAAATTTGTTTTTATGAAGTAGGACTTTGTTCTTTAACTCTCACTGGCCTGGTACTTATCTTATGGCTAGCTTGGCCTTGAAATCAACAATCTTCTGTCTCAGCCTTCTAAGTGCTGGGATTATAGGAGTTAGGACCCCACACCTGGATTCCATTCTATTTATTCCTTTATTAATATCCTAAGAATGAGATTATTTTTGTCTTTCTTTGCACTGCATTGGCATTTAATGTCTGAAAAGTAGGCTGCGTTTGACCTTCCAGGAAGGTTCGTGGTTATTCTTCTGATGTGGGATGTCCTTCTGTATATCTCCATCTACACTCTTCTTTCCTTCACGGCTACAGCCTTATACTAGTTCTGTGCTCATTAAAATGCACGTGAACCATCCAGGTTTCTGTTTGTCATACTACCAATGCTTGTCTTTCTCTGTCTGTGTCTCAGTTTTTCTCCACCTCTCTGCCTCTGCCTCTGTCTCAGTCTATGCCTCTGCGTGCCTCCACCCCTGTGTGTGTGTGTGTGTGTGTGTGTGTGTGTGTGTCTGTGAGAGAGAGAGAAAGGAGAGAGAGAGAGAGAGAGAGAGAGAGAGAGAGACTGTCTATCTGTCTGTATTTGTGGCTCGAGCGCCTTCCTGGCTTTAGTGGTAGATAGACAAATCATGTGTCAGCTCTAGCAGAGACTACTGCCTGGTACGATAGCTGCAGGAGAACCCTGAGGTAGGGACTTATCTTGTCTACCCTGACCCAACCATGGGTTCCAGGTTCCTACGATGTATGGCCTTCTGCCTTTTGGGAGTAGGTAAGTTGTTGAGTTCCTGGGTAAGGAGAGCTGTTCCTGTTTGAGTCCTGTGAGCATGCCTACTTCTGAAAATTTTTCTAAATTCTGATTATATTTTTCACAGGTCCCCTGGAGACGGCTGTTTTCCAGACTCCACAATATCTTGTCACACAGGTGGGACATAAAGCATCTTTCAAGTGCGACCAAGATCTGGGCCATGATGCCATGTACTGGTACAAACAAGACTCTAAGCAATTGCTGAAGATTATGTTTACCTATAATAATAAGCAACTCATTTTAAATGACTCGGTTCCAAGTCGCTTCTCACCTCAGTCTCCAGATAAAGCTCATCTGAATCTTCAAGTCAAGCCTGTAGAACCGGGTGACTCTGCTGTGTACTTCTGTGCCAGCAGCTATGACACAGCCATGCAAAGCCACTGCTTCCATGTGCACAAACCCAGCCAGTCAGGAAGCAGTGGGGCCAAGGGTTAACCCACACCTGAGGCTAAAAACAAAAACCTCACACTTTCCTAGTGATGCCTTAATGAAGGTAGTATCTAGTAACTAAATGATCAAGTGCAATACATATTTTATATAAGGAAATAGAAGCAACCATGGTGAGTCACCCCAATTAGTCCCTCTGGAAGGGTATGGGGAGTCATGATGTGGTTGGTTCCATTTCTAACATTTCAGAAATGGACAGAGCTGGGATTATTCCATCTCAACTTCTCTGGTTTAGAGGTACAGAATGTCATATTACACATTTGAAATGATTTAAACATTACAATACAAAATTACTTTTTAAATATATTAAAACTATATTTTTTAGTTATCTATCAATATATATAATTGTCCTGCTAATCTGTGGGTAACATGGTGTTTTCTTTCTTGCCTCTAGTTGCGGGCCACTGAAGACTGAATAAACCAATTTAGCCTATAAGCGCCACACAAGCTGCATAGCTAATACCTATTTGACTCCTTGCTGAGTAAGAATCCTGTTGTTGCCAGTCTCTGCACAGCAGAAATTAGAGTGAGACTTATGGTGTAAATGGGCCACTTCAACCACAGGATGGAGCTGTGGTTTCAGGATGTCTCTGAAGCTGGGGCTGGGGAGGGTGGGAAAGTGGGAAATCTCACCCATATGGATTTCCTATTAGGTGGAAGCCTCAGTTGTAGACATCTCAAAAACACTAACATCAATTTCTAATTGATCTCCCTTGGTCTAATACAAATAATGCCTCTTTCAGCATCTTATATACAGTCTTTCTTCTAAGCCTAGAGAAGCTCCATACCTTAAATAACATGTGCACAGGCTGTTTCATTTGTTTTATGCTCCCTTTGTGTCCTGGCCAGTGTCTGGCTTCTGAATGATGCCACCGTCATACACTTCTAATGATGAATAGGCATTCAAAATCATCTAATCATCACTACAACCACCTCCACCTTCCACAAAGTTGGGCCATCCATCTTAAACACGAACCAAAACAGCACTTTGAGGGTGCTAATATTTGAAACTGAGTAGGAGAGGAAGGAGATCTTTAGAGGGAGAAATGGGCTGTGTGAGAGAGGGCCGTGGAAGAAGGTAGTGGTAAAGATTTGAACAACAGGAATGTAGCTACAAGCACAGGAACAACTTCTAGAAATACCTTTGAGGGTTAAAAAGTTGAGCTGGCATTTTTTAAACATTTATTCATTCCAGCCCAGTAAATTCACCTTTTAGCACCATCTATGTTGATTGTGAAAGGGGAAAAAGAAACATCACTTGAAGTTGAAGGAGCTAAAAGGGATAGTGACATCATGGAGAAAAGAACCAATCAGTGCCCTAAAGAATAGACCCAGCTCTCATCGGGGTAATTTAACTACACAATGCTCATCTGGGACCTGATTCCACCATGAAGTGTGGGCTTCTCTTCTGTATTTTCCTATGTCTCCTGGAGACAGGTGAGTCTTGGATCCTACTGGTTCCTAGCTCCAAATTTCTTTATGCTGAAGTCACCACCTTTTTCTTGAACTGTGTCTAAATTTTACCCTTTTCTTCCCACAGCCTTCATGAACACTAAAATTACCCAAACACCAAGATATCTGGTCATGGGAAGAGCAAATAATAACTCTTTGGATTGTGAACAACATCTGGGAGATAATGCTATGTACTGGTATCAACAGAAAGCTGGGAATCCCCCGGAGCTCATGTTTCTTTACAATCTTAAAAACCTGATTCGAAATGAGACTGTGCCCATTCGTTTCTTACCTGAATGCCCAGACACCTCCAAGTTATTCCTTCAACTGTCTGGCCTGGAGCCAGAAGACTCAGCTGTGTATTGGTGTGCGAGCAGCAAGGACACAGCCCTGCAGATTCATCAGCTCTCTGTACACAAACCTACAAGTTCAGGAAACTGTGGGACAACTGAGGGCTTCACTGAACATTTCCTGTAGGACCCAAGACAGATGTTGCAAACCATAACAGTGTTTTCTAACTCAACCCATGTAACACCTCTATCTTCCATGGTCGTTTTAGAAGTAGTGTTTCCTTCATTGTGCAGGGCTCTCCTGCCAACTGATGAGAGGATAAATATTTGTGGGTTTTAATTTTTAAATGATTTTGTAATTGTGATAGAAAATAAACCTGGTAGAAAGCAAATTATTTCAACTAATAATTTACAGAACACCTCAATACATTGTTGACTCAGCACAGGGCTAGAAAGTGAGATGATTTTCTGAGAGAGGCATTCTGTTTCACACACTTTAGGTTCTGCCATTTCTTTTTTCCACTTTATCCTACTTTTTAATTTTTTTATTGATTTTATTGAGCTATACATTTTTCTTTGCGACCTTCCCTTGCTCTACCCTCCCCTTCTGTCCTCTCCCATGGTCCCCATACTCCCCGTTTACTCAGGATATCTTGTCTTTTTCTACTTCTCTGGCTCAGTCCTGCTCACTCAGAGGTCCTTCCCCTGTTCTTGCTCCTATGGAGTTCGCTGCCTCGGGCCTGTTCTGGTGGAGGTCACTGGCTCGGGCTTACTTCTGTAAATGTCCATGGCCTGGGCCCACTTCTGTGGAGGTACCTGGCTTGGGCCCAGTCCTGCCATTTCAAAGCCTCTTCCCTGGTACTCTTGCCACCAGATCCAGGCAGCACTAAGTGTTGAGAAATCAGAGGCTGAGCTTTTAAGAAAGGATCCCAGGTCTGGAGCCAGATGAGAGAATGGGATAAGATCATAGCTGTTAGGAACTTTTTCTAATGTGAGTTCTCTGCTGACACAAAAGTCTACATCAAGCCTAATCATAACAAGCTGAATTAAAATATATTCAAGTTTAATGGGATTTCTGTGCTCTTGGGTGGCCCTGAGGGGGAACCAGGAGGCCACTAATGTGACCACCAAGGGGAGAGAAAAAAGAACACCTGTTTCTTCTCTGGGAGTTCACTTAAATACCCTATGGGAGTGATCCTTACCTCCCCCCAGGGAGGAGTCAGGACCTGGCATGCTGGGATTTGGAGTCCAGACCAATACAACCCCCAGGCCTGGGGACTATGCTCCCAACTTAACAATAGCCTTTGGGAAATGTGGTGTGTGTGTGACACACACACACACACACACACACACACACACACACACACACGAGCTGAAGAGATGGCTCAATAGTTAAGAGCACTGCCTGCTCTTCCAAAGGTCCTGAGTTCAATTCCCAGCAACCACATGGTGGCTCACAACTCTCTGTAATGAGATCTGGTGCTCTCTTATGAAAAACATCTGGTCAGTCATTCTTATCAACTCAGACCATGAAATCCAATATGAACAAGTTCAACAGAACTGCCATAAATGGGCTGCCCATGAATGCTTCAGCATTGCCAGGGCATAAATTTTGTTTTCATTTTCATTCATATATATATTCAACACACACACACTCATATCTTCAGTAGTTCTGTATTTCTGATATTATATATGCCAGCTTTTTTTATTTCTTTTTACTCCACCTTTAGCTAATCTTAACCATTAGCTCTGATCAAAATGCTATGTCTGCCCAGAAACTTTCTCTCTCTGAATCCTGTGCATAGCAACTGCACTGGCATTCTTCCACTCATTCAGCTGGAAGCTTGCACCCTGCCATTCACCTGCCTTACTCTTGCCAACATCTGTCTGTTTCTTTACTTTCATTATTTTAAGCCTCCATGCGCAGAGCCTCTGGCATCCAGCTTTTCACTTGCCATCAGAAAGAGGGGATTCTATTATTATTTTCAATTCTTACCCTGGTCTCACTGTCTAAACCTGTAAATCAGAGGTGCCTGTCAGCACACAATTTAATGCACACTGTATCCCTTAGAATGTGTGGAGCTACCTTGGGGCATCTCATCCCCATGATGGCACTCTGGTTTCTATTCTTGTGAGGGCACCCTAAGACTGTGAGTATGGCACAGACCGTGACACTGTGGACTGTCTGATCTATTAGCAACCAAAGTCCCAGCAGTGAGTCCTCTGGTCCTCATGACCCTAGCATGGACAGTACCCTCCTTTGCTGGGTAAACTTTGCTGTTGTGGATGAATCTAGAAAGTATTTGAGAAATGTTCATCTGCATTCACATAGGAGCAATTCTTAAATTTCTCTTTGTTTCCCTCCCCCTTTTCTTGTCTTCTGTCTCCTTCACGGGACACATGGAACCTGGAGTCACGCAAACCCCCAGTCATGATGTTACAGACATGGGAAAGAATATCATCTAGAGATGTGACACAATTTCTGATCATCTTGCCATGTGTCTTGGTACCAACAGACACCAGCAAAAGGAGTGGAGTTTGTGGTTTCATTCTATGAGATGGCTTGTTCAGAAGAGACTGACATTTTCAAGGGTCAATACTCAGCATAAATGCCTGGTGGATTTGCTTCACTCTGAAGATTCAGCTGCTCATCCAGGAGACTCCACTGTGCATCTGTGCGAGCAGCTTAGCCACAGCCCTCCAGAGAGATTTTCTGTCTCTGAAAGAGCTTAATGTTCTTCATGCATAAGGAGGTGGAGACAAGTAGTCAAGACTAAAGGTGCTTCCAGTGGAAGTAAGAAAGTAACTTCAATTGCCAGAAAGTAGATGGAAATGGGGGGGGGGGTGGAGTCATACTGGAAAATATTCATAGGTTCCCTAGAATGTGACTATGTACAGAATGATGGGGTGAAAGTAGCTGTAAGAGTGACCAGGAAAACCCACATAAGAATCTGTGCCCACTTTGGATCTCAGGGTGAGTTTCTTCTTATTCGGCAGGGCATGAATTTCCATCTGTGAGTGGAGACAGGTTTTCTAGAGGGGACATGAGAAATTTTCATGAGGATACTGAAAATAGTCAACTGAGAATTTTCTAGAAAGAGGGTAGATCTAAGCACCAGAGTCTGAAGATTATATGGAAAGTTTGTTTGGAGCAGTCGGTGACAGTAGAAGCAGCAGCCTGCTCTTAGGACCAGGAGGCTATTTGAACCATGGCTGCCCATGCCTGTTGAGTTATGTATGGAGTGAGTTCCAAGTTTCTAGCTTTTGTGAGTTGGCTTGGGTGTTAGCGATGCAACTGCCTTTGAGTCCCTGATGCTCTTGTAAGTAACTTCTCACCTGTACTTACATAATTATCCCCTCACCCATACTAATGTAAATAACCCCAGTAAAACTCACTACTTCAGCAAGCTGGACTTTGGTGATATCCATATCATGATCTGTTGTTGGTTCTTTGTGTGAGGTAATAGATGTTTGTTTGCAGCACCCCAGGGATAGTTACACACAACTCAAGAACAGAAAGTGTTGTCTGTATTCCGTAGGGGCAATGGTTTACACAACAACCATTCACAGGGTCATATACATTCATATGTATTGCATTCCAACCCAGTGCAGGCAACTCTCCTTCACGCTATGAAGTTACTAATCTCTCTAGAAAGGGTTTCTGGGCTACTAGGATTGAAGCAAAGTTTGGAGGCAATATATGCTTTCATATTTTTAGACTGAGAATATAACTTATCATCTAAAGTGGAGTCTATTTGGAATGAGGGAGATGCTGATAATGATTACTCTTGAGCAACAGATATGTCTTTTAATATTTACTATACATGTATCCCAGGCCTAAACCTTTGGGTTTCTTTTAGATTCAAAGGAGGAGGAGGCTCTGGGCTTGTCTTGATCTAGCCATTGAATACAAGCGTCTCTGCAGCACACAAGATAAATGTCTAACTTAAAAGGCCTCAGCTCTGAGTGTCGCTACTTCTCTCAGCTGATGGCTTTTGTGATCACTAAGCAGATCGGCGTGAGTTAGCCACAAATGAAAGTGGAGGAGTTTTCATGTGCCGGTCTGTCTCCTGCTTCTTCCTCTCCCCCTATATAGTATCTGCCATCATTAACTAGACACCTGTGTGCCATTATGCTTGCAACTATAAACACTGCAAAGATAACTCAGTGTGCAGAAAATGGCAGTCATGGAGGTGAGCAGTCAGTGTTCAGAGAGACACAAGTCTTTATCCCAGGTCTGTTCCACTTGCTGGTAACTTCCTCACAAGAACTCCTCTGTCTTCATCTACTGCTGACCTCACGGCTTCTTTGTCTTTTTGAGGAGAACAATTGTTGCTTTCCTAAATAGGGGAAGGAAACCCTAGTTTTATCTTAATAGAGTTTTTTGTTTACCCCCACCACCACCACCACTGTTCCCTACTCTCTTTTCTTTCCTTTGGGTTCTGATTAAAACATCATCTCATTTTTTTGACCCGTTCCATTAACTGTTACCACAATGGCAACATCTCACATCGAATTTCAGGCACTGACTAAAAGTAACCTGATGTCTGCTAACTATGACATATAGAGGAGAGCACCTATCTTGAGCATTAATGTAAATCACTTATTTATGTGGTTTACATAATAATGTGAACCCCGTGCTATGTTATATAATGATACCACTTATTTGAAATTCCAGGTAGATGCTCAGTGTTACAGAAATGGCGGGCATTCTGACTATAGTTTTATCAAGGGTATTGCAGCATCTTTGGATATCTTTGCTCCAAAAGTATAACACCTTTCAGGACTGGAGAATGTGCAGGACATGCCTCTTCTATTGACTATGCTAGAATATAAGACAAATAAGCACATAGTGTGCTAGAAAGAGCCGTTTATGTATTGTATTACAAAGCTTCTCTCTAAGAGAAAGGGCTTTTGACAGCTGGAAACCAGCTGATGACATTCAGTTTTCATAATCTCTTCTCCCTCAGCATTAGAGGTTGCTATTATATTTCTAGCCAGGTTTGTGTTGGAGGAATAAAGTTATAAACTAAATCTCTCCCAAACCTAGAAAACCTCTCAAGGAAATGAGAAGAGAAAGTTGTTTAGTCATTACATAACCATTACCCAGATGTGGTATGCATATAGATAACCTGCTGATAAATTCAAATGAGGAGATAAACTCACTATACACACAATCTCAAGAGG